ACAGTTGAATTTGTATAGCTTTAAATGTAAACTTTGTACATACTTTGCATGTCTGAAATGTTATGATTAGTGTCCTGGAAACAGGTCACTGAGTCTGAATGATCACATTTTCCTCAACATGATGTACATGTGCCGATGTTTCCTGATGAAGAAAGGACAGATGGATGTAAATTGGAAAGGATGCAATGCAGTAAGGCGGGTGTGACAATCTAGGCACGGCTTTCTTGGAATACCTGTGCTATTGGCATCCACCCATCCATTTCCTGTACCGTTTACTCCCAACGGGGCTGTGGGGGGCTGGAGCCTATCCCAGATGACAACAGGCAAGAGGTGGGGAACACCCTGGACAGGTCACCAGTCCATCACAGGTCACTTGGCATACATGTGGATGCTATTTTTGCACACCACCTTCCTGGTCATTTTTTTTACCGTTTACATTCACCTCTTTGTAACAATGATATTCCCTAATGGCTGTGTGCATGTGACTGGGTCAGTTCAAGACAGTTGATGTCACATCTTCCATCACTTAAAATATCTGCTATAAGATGATGCCTGATACGACAGAGCTAATCCATGTGTTTATGGACTCTGTGCAAAATCAGTTATGAGCACATGAGTGCAATATAGAATAACAAGTAAGCAGCTTTTAAGAGAGATGCTGATCGGAGCACGTGCCAGAATAATGATAAGGAAATGCCATCTCTGAGTTTCAGTGTTTTGAAATAGATCAAATGGAATTAATCTCACTAGTTGCTGTGGAGACGTGTGTAATGCTGCATGTATTTGACCTTCTTGGGCATTCAATTTCCAACAAAACACACCCTCAAGACATTCAATTGTACAATATTGTAGATACTGGCATGTTTGAGTTAGCTTTTGCTCCCACTGAGTCACCCAAGCAATGTATCAAAGTATGAATCACAAGCAGTTCAGCTATGTATTTAGACATGCAGCTTTTTCTACAGAAGGGAAACTTTACTCCAAGCACAATTTGAAAAGATTAATATAAAAAGACAGCCTCTGAAATTGTGCAGGAGCCAGTTGGGGCTTCAGCCAGGCATGTGTTCATTTTGCTACAGGCATGAACCATCTAGTTCATTCATTCCACTATCTATATACTTCATTCCACTATGTATATACTTGGTAGTATTTTTCTTTACTGACAGACATTCAAGTATATATTCCATTCCTTTAAAGGTTGTCATCATTGTATAAACTTTCAATTTCCAGAAGAGTTCGCAATCACAAACATACATCCAAACACACGATCAGCAACAGCCAGATGATGATTGGAGTCAGGCCATGTGCAGACCATGAAGGTCCTGACATGTACCACCGTGATCTCTCATTAGGAGAGCTTCAGTTAAAAAAAAAAAAAAAAAACTACCGGGAGCTGCTTGCTGTCACGGATGTGTACATCAATGTTGTGCTCATTACCAGAGAGAGGACATCAAAGCAGATGGGCAAGCAAAACAGAGCATGGAATGGTGGCAACAATTATGTGCAGCTAAGATAAAACCAGACAACTGAGGTTCGGCCAAAAGAAGAAAAGAAAAAAAACAGATGGATTAACAATAAATTTGAGATAAAAGCAGTTAGGCATAGACAAAGGGGGCACATTGAGTTCTCTTTTACAGGTGTAGGGCATTAAAACTTAAACAGAAGAGAGAGAAAAAATAAGTTGTATTGTTAAAATATAAAATTACTTTGATGACTAGCCACATAAAGGCAGATGGAAACATTATGTCTCAGAGCTAAAATGCATGGTGTTGTTCAGCCTCTCTGCAGCTATAACATAATCAGCTAGATGAGCTTTTTTTTAATGGGCAGGTAATGTCCAGCTAAACAGACAAAGAAATATCAATCGCATTTAACAAGAAGGATTCATTAAATTATATAAAATAACTAGATCTGACTAATGCCTGTAGACACATATAATTGACAACAACTAGACAAACGACAAAAGAATAAACAGATAACTCATGTCGCAGTTATTATGGTAATGCTTGTGGATTTAAAACCATAATCTGAATCATAATAAACCTAACATATATGAATTAATGTCTGATTATCATTGCCCTTGAATCCTGATAAACTGAACATCTGTTCAAAGGGCTGATGGAATTTTTGTCTCATTAGACAGCTGAAATGTACATAATCTGTGTACAGAAACAAAAACAAAATTCCCACAACAACTTCAAACTAATGTGGAGTCAAAGTAAAAGAAAATTATTAATGAACTCTAATATAATTTTGTTAATCTAAAACTAATCTTAGTTCTGGGTGATTCATTCGTTCCTCAAAACACAAGCTCATTTATATTTTTAGGAGAAAGGTTGGGACAAATAACAGAAAACCTGAAATAAAAATGCTTACTTTCTAACAGTGGTAAAAATAAAGGGAGTCACAACTTTGAATCTAGTTTAAATAACAGTTTCACCAGTTTTAAAAACATTGCCTGTTAGATAACTTATTAAAATGCAACATCTTATTCCACATGCATTACTTGATGAATATTCTCCAAACAGACGCAGCTAATTAAGCCAAAAGGATCCCAGTATCTACAAAAAAACAAGTGACTGACTCAGAATTCAGAACCTCAGACATGAGGACAGAATATACGTTTAGCTTTTCTGTCCCTCACTGTAGATCTGCAATTTTTCAATCGGTGAAATGGGGCTTCATTTCAGAACACTTTACTACAGGACGTGAAACAAAGGTTAATTACCTCAGGCGTCTTCCGAGTGCTTCCAGAGACTTTGGGGAGAATATGGGGATGGAAACTTCCAGCTTCCATCTAAACTCATTAAATTAAACTCTGCAAGCAAATGACTTCAACTTTAAGAGGACACCACAGAGAATTAAGGGTCAGTGAAAAAAACACATATATAAATTTAGAATGTAGTTTCTCCATCTGTTCCTTCACATCATAGAAAAGGCAGAAGTGAGAATATCTCTTAGTGGAACTAATTAAAAAATCTTTGCAGTCACTTTTGGTAATTTGTCATAAATTGTAAGTAATAGGTTGCTCAGACAGCTCCACGAGCACAGTTGTAAAAAAAAGACCTGTTTCTTGAATCATGTAACCGGACATTGGTGAAATCTCTTTCAATTTAACGCCATAGATCACATCCCTCCTTTTAATTTTGGTCATAGAGCTAATTTGAGTTAAATGAATTTTCGCAAATTAGTAATTTTAACTTCCATCCTTAGTGGATGAAGCTCAACGAAGAAATTAATTGAAATGTTCAAAGAGCTCACATGTATGGTGCTCTGTGACAGTGGTAAATGACTCTAATCTATATTCAAAGAATATGTGAAAATAGAAACTTCTGTATGACTAATATGGTCACAGATCATAGCCATCAAACAAGAGGGATCATTATGCAGGTTGACTGTGTGAGTTGGTTTTATTTACCAAACCTTAATGAACAAAGCTTTTGTTTTTTGGCACAGGGGCTGGATACTATTTTTGGAGCCATTAAAGCTGTGTCAGACCAGCAGATCTGTTTCACTGCTTCTTTTGCTTCTCCTAAATCCAATCGACCATGGAGATTTGATGGAGGCCAAAATGTGCTCTGCTAATGTACCAATGTCTGACTACTGTGGTAAGGGTGTTTAAAGTACTTTAATTTAAATGCACTTCATTGTGAAGGTTTCCCGTTCATGCACTTTTTGTTTCACCTTTTTTAAATGTCTCATAATCAGCATTTGATACCTATTATAGTTAAATATGATTCAAATGGTATTTTTCGCTTTATTTTAATTCAGTCACAGTGTTTCTGACATTTTTTTATATAGATTTTTTTGCTGCTCCAGAAAAACACAACAGTTACATGCATCATTATTATCAGGGATTTTAACCAAATTATATGTGAACGTATTGTACTGAAGTACGATTTAGTTCAAGGATAATTTACAATTGAAAATAGATGAGATTTTAATCGATTCTCCTTCTGACCTGGTGTATTGGCACTGAACCTGCAACTCTTTGATGACACTCATTGAGAGCACATTATCTTTTCATACTCTTCCGACTACCTGTCATAATGTGACAATACCAAAAGAAGAGAAGCTGAATTTTGTCCAGATAATGATAAACTTGCATGGATGAACATGCATTTAGATGATGAGGCACTGGAAAAACCCCATTCCTCACACTACAATATCATTTGCAGGACTGGAGGCTGCATGAGTTCCGCAGAATGCCAGAGGTTGTAATGCAGGTCTAATGTGGACTGACAAAAATGATGTGTGTGGTCCAGCTGCACTGCGTCCATTTAAAGTCTGACTTAAGGCTGAACATTGCAATAAGTGCTCTATGCTGCTTTTTTCGGAGGAATAAGTGCTTGTTGAACATTTATAATTAACTCAGTGTCGTGAGGGATTCTTTCATATAAATATTAAATTAACCAAACAGTATAATTTAACATTCAGAAACTCAAAAATCCATTTGTTTGCACCAAAACCCATTTGGATGAGCGGCTCATGACATCAGTCTAAACAACATTCGCGTCATCGTGTTCTATTTTTTACACTGAATAGCTGTTTTTGAGTAGGGGTGCATCGGTTTGCTTTTTGGACACATTCATCTTTAGGTAGTATGACAAACTGAAGGCTACGAGCGACAAGCTTTTTTGTCTTTTTCAAAGCTGCTCATCGTTGTGCGCAATAGCGCAGCGAGGACCCTGGGAGCCGCAAGACCAGAGTGATAACCAGGGGGAAACCACCGCAGCGCCACAGGAACACAGGTCTACCGTGATCATATTGCTGTGAAGAAGACTCACAGCAACAAATTCCTGCACAGCCAGTGTGACAGTCTCCAACGATTGTACTGTCACCGCTCTCTCGGAGGATTCAGTTCGTTTATAGTAAAGATTTCCGGAGATTCCAAGCACGATCTGGACTCATAACTACTTTTGACTGTAACTCACGATGGCAGTTTGCAACAGGGCTTTGGATGCTGTCTGTCAAAGTGTGGATATTTAACAGGAGGCACCATGGACACGGCGGACATAATCGCTTCTGTGTTGACTTTGGGGATTATTGTCGTGTCGCTGTTGTCCAACGTCGTGGTATTGATCTGCTTTCTGTACAACCCAGAGATCCGCAAACAGGTACCTGGTCTTTTTATTCTCAACCTGACGTTTTGCAACCTGTTGCTGAGTGTGTCCAACATGCCACTTACTCTGGTCGGGCTCGTCACGGCTGGGCACCCTGGAGGCAGCGGCCTCTGTCAAATTGTGGGTTTCCTCGACACTTTTCTCACCACAAACTCTATGCTCAGCATGGCAGCCCTCAGCATTGATAGATGGGTGGCTGTGGTGTTCCCGCTGAGCTACCACTCGAGGATGAGGCACAGGGACGCGGTTTTAGCGCTCGGATGCACGTGGATACACTCACTTTGCTTCTCCACGGTGGCCACCTGCCGCTCCTGGGTTGGCTACCACCACCTTTACGCATCGTGCACCCTCTGCAACGGCAGGGCGAAGGCAGCTGGGACGCAGTTCATCATTTTCACCCTGGCTTTGCACGCTCTCACATTTCTCCTCACACTGATCGTGATGTGTGTAACGTATCTTAAGGTCCTAAAGGTTGCAAGATTTCACTGTAAACGCATCGACGTGATCACCATGCAGACGTTGGTGCTGCTGGTGGATATTCACCCCAGGTAAAGAGAAGTGTCAGTCCAATTCATTTGTTCCCATTCATGTTTGTTGGTCAGTGAAATCTCTGTATCATCTCCCCTTTAATTTGAGAATGTTAGAGGAATATAGGTTTGTTATTAGGAAAACAAATTGTGGTATTGTCACCAAGCTGTTTATACAGCACCTTGCAAAATACAGTTAAATGGTGTTTTCTTGCAAATATCAAGGTGTATATTGTATAATACGATCTGTATTATATCATATTATATTGTGCATATGTATACATTCATTTACAAGTAGAGGGTTATTACATTTCCTTTGTGATTATCAGAAAATACAGAGCACGGTTGAGTGCTTCCTTCCTGTCCGTCCCACAAGTTTTCTCCTTGGATTCCTTAATCACGTCTGCCTGTCTCTGATCATACCTCTGGGAGGATAATGGAACTTGTTTGCTTTGGCAGTGTACGCCAGAAATGCTTGGATGAGCAGAAGCGGAGGAGGCAGAGGGCCACCAAGAAGATCAGTACGTTCATTGGCACCTTTGTGGTGTGTTTCACGCCTTATGTCATTACAAGGTGAGCTGAGATCTATAATGTTGTATATGGGTTTTTGTGTGGGTGAGTGTGGAAAATCTCTCTGGAAGGTGTTTATCACATACCCAATGTCTAATTGTAACAGTTCCCTGTCTTGTTCTCTATCTTTTGAAGAATAGATTTTTAAATCTTATCACCCAGCATTAGTTTTATTTACCAATGTATATGGTATAGTATATAGAAAAAGAAAATGAGGTGTATTTTGAATCGCTATTTATACGTAGCCTTCAAGAATCAATAATGATTTCTTGAATAATGATCTTATCATTTTACTGTTATCAGTTAACATTTTAGACTTTCAAAGTTATTTTAATCATGTTATAGATGATTTAGACACTGGAGCTGTCTGTGTTACTTTCCTTGTTACAAATACAGAGAACTGCTCTGGCTGGTTTATGCTTTACCTTTGCCTTTCCTCTGACTTAAAGGAATAACTAATAATTCAGATTTTAATCAGTAAGACATCCATCATCACATAAAGAAACACAGTCATCCTTCTACATTCACACAGTGACATAGTGTTGCCAATTCAGTGGGGCGTAATAATGACATTTTCACAGTTTCACAGCAAAGAGGGAGCTTCATCTCTCGCTTTAAATGTCTTCCACTCAGATTACAGTGATTTCAAATACAGCCCAGTTACTACACTTTACCCTCCACATTGCGTGTGACTTTTCTTTCCATTTCTGCTTTATTCGAGGTAGAATCATCGAGCTTTTCTCTCCAGGGCCCATAAGCCCTCATTGGGGTGTCCTGTCCAAATGTTTGGCCTACAGCAAGGCAGCAAGTGACCCGTTTGTCTACTCGCTCTTGCGTCACCAGTACAGGAAGACTTGCAGCCTTCTGGCCAACAAAGTCCTCAAGAGGAGTCCACTCAACTCCTCCTCCCTCAGGAGGCAGAACAATGCAGGAACCAACTCCAACACAATTAACAACACCAATCAAACATCAACCAACTGAATGCCAATTAAGTCATCGTGTTTAGCTACAATTAGGATATTTTAAATGTATTGGAGATAGGCTTAAGCCTCCCTGTGACTGACTTGGATTGTGCAGGTATTGGAAATTGATGGATAAATACTTGTAATGGACTTGACTTCAACTTGATTTTAACTTTAGAACATATTAATTTCCTGTTGAGGGATGATGGTGAGCATTCTGTATTTACTATTATCAGCAGCAAAAGCTGTATGTCAACACCGACGATTTTACCTTTCTGACACACTGAGCCAAATGCTTATTTGTCTCTGCCATGGGCAAAATTCTTGGGTAACAGTTAACCTTCTTTTTTTTTCGTTAAAAACTCCACACGGTGTAACAGCTGCATTTAGCAGTCACTGTCAATTGTTCCTAAAAATAGAAATGCACCGAAGTCTGGCAACTTTCAGCAGCACAATTGAGGTGAAATAAACCACCAGGCTTGTGCTCGTAGGAACAAATGAGCACATCACTCAGTGCAGCATATCATGCTTTCAGTGGTGTTGTTTTATAATTGATGGAAAAATATAGAATATTGGCAACCATGTCCGTGACTGAAGAGTAAGCGTAAAAGTAATGTGTGAAAATATTTCAGTGGCATTAGGATGGTTTAGTGGCATTAATCTGTGGCAAATACACCATTTAACAGTGTGCAAATCTACAGTTTATCATTTCTTCATTGTGTCATTCAAAGTGAAAATTGCAGTACAGATACACTCTTAAGAAAAAACAACCCACAGGTCAACTGTATTTTTTATACCTCATTTATGGGTTTATGGTTTAAAGAAAACACACAGATTACTCCTTTAAATAGAATATGCATAGCATTGCACCCAAACTGACTGACTGCACCTCCTCAAGAAAATGTAAGCATATCTTCTGACCTCAGTGACTTTAAACTAGGTAATGCATTGTATGTGTTGATAAAAATGTTTAGAATATAATCGTTTTTACAGTGCAGTAATGCTATTGTGCACTACACAGATAATTTAATTGAAACTGTGGTACTGTATGTTGTAATAGTAAATCCCGATTTATAAAGTGCCTTTCAGACTATGTAGTCCCTGATTTCATGAAACACAAGAGAGGAAATGGGTTCTGTTTTTTTGTATGCAGTATTTTGTGTCATGGTTCAGAGTGATGATGAAGCCAGGTTGTTTTACCTATTTTACTCATTGCGTTAGGCAATAGACTGTAATGCTGTTTGAATGTGGTAGCAACTTTTCAGTAATGTGTAATTAACATTCCAGCTCATGTCACATTAGAGGCGGTGTGATATCCGCTTTGTAAAAATGAGTCATTGTGAAAACACTGGCATACAAAAATATGAATTTTTATTTACTGTGACACTATGAAGCCTTTAACAGGCAAAATATCTATTTATTTTTATCTAACTATGTCTGTTTGTTTGTTATTTTGTTCAGTTTTCTTTGCCGAATGCGTTTGTGATAGTATTGCAATAAATGCTGTGCATTTTGACATTTTCAAATCTGACGATGTTTCTTCTTACTCATTCACTAACATCCATAATAATTCCTACATGGATCAAAATCATGCAAAGAATATTTCTTGTCTTTTAGACAATACTTTACTTACACATTAGTCTGGCAAAACCTCTAATCTCCCACGCTTATTCAGTTTGAGTTAGACAAATAATGAAATAATAGTCGCTTTTGATGTGGAGGCAGAACAAAAATCTTTTTTTTTAAATCTCCAGGATTCAAAGTTAGAGGCTTTTAAATTGCCGAGCAGCAGGAGGGAGTGTAAAGAGAATTCAAGGGATTAAGTCAAGAAAGGCAGCAGTACACATCGGCTCGCACAGATGTGAAAGTATTGCGTTAGTAACACCCGTTTCCCTGGCCCTCATCATAAACCGAATCCAAATATGAAACAATAATAATTTGTAATCAGTCATAGCTGCCTCCAATAATTTTCATCATTCACCTAAAAGGGTAAAAGTTTTACCGTGTCCTTGTTTCCCGTGTTAAACAAGGGCAATTAGCAGAAGGCATTCAAAAGGTTTGCAGGGATTCTCAGCCTGGAGGTGCACACCGCTTCTCCCCCTGAGACCCAGTGAGTGGGTGAGAGGTAGACACAAATCTCCACACTCGAAACATTGTGCACAGACATTGTGATTTAGCTCGGTTGCGTAGGCAGCAAGAAATCTGAGGAGGAAAGAAGCAATGATGAGTACAGATGTTGACGTCATGCCATCCCAATATCAGGGTACATCCAAAACTTTTTGTGAGATTTAAGTACAGAAAAACATTGTAATGCATCGTGTTCCACTCATTGCTTTTTGTGGGGGTTCCATCCTATTTCTTCAAGAAAAATAAACTACCCACGCCAACTGTTTTCCCATCATTATTTGACCTTAAGGAGGAAGCTGTGACAGTTTTTTCAATAAAAAATTTGAAACACACACACAAACACTGGACTGTAGTCATTACTGTAGTCATTGCTAAGAAACCTCCAGAGTAATTGGAGTTACCCGTGTGCAGGAGCCTTTTTTGTCATTTTTCTTTCTTTAACAATAGCGCAAACAAGATGTTTTACTCAACATTCCATCGGGGCTTGTTCATTAATGACAGACATGAAGTAGATATCTGAAGTTACACATCAGCAGATGCTTAAAAATCACTTGATCATTGCAGACAAACAGGTAGTGGTTATCAATTCTGCACATCATTCTACTCTATTGCATGTCAGATTTGTTTTGTCCATCAAGTTATGCATTTCCTTTGTCATCCACATACCAACTAACTGAATGGGCCAAATACGTCACACTGTTATTTGAGCCATGGGAATGCTGAATCCAAATGTCATAGTTTTACCCATGCCCTCAAGTAAGCTGCCTGCATTGCTTACAGAACTAATAAATAAAGACAATCTATTCCTGTTCAGGAATGCTGTATTTGTTGCTTTGGGCAAATGCTGTTCTTTCTCTTGACTGAAAGGCATTTACAGAAATATTCAAAGGCTATCTTTGCCTAGAAGAGAAATCCCCATCCTCTCACTCACAGCAATCATTATTATGTAGTAATTAAGACGAAAAGCATTTGATTTTGGGATTGTGAGCAGATCCGTTTCTCGCCTCATGATTAAGCTACTAATTCAAAGAGCTAATGAATGGCTCTGGTCAGCTTGTTTTGATATCAAGTCCAGTCCAGCATAAGGACAAAGTCTCAGCCACATGTCAATGTCTGGTGTAAAAGTGTCAAGCCAATACCACATTGGTATCATTACAAGCGTGCCACACTGGCCATCTGCTCAGCTGCTAAAGCTCAGTTTATGTGAACATCTGTTTGAGACACGATCTGGAAGCAGTCAAACAAAATATGATAATATATGGGAATCTCATTCTACTCACTGAATCATCATTTTACGGCTTTGATTTTCCCAACTTTCACACAAACTCTGAATTATTTTCATCTGTGGAGCCCCTAATCAAGACGATGCAGAGCAATGCTGCTATTAGCTGTAAGCGGTATGAGAACCTCCTTTCCAGCTAAAGCTCATTAAAAATCCTACAATTCTCACATATTGTCCAAACATCTAAGCTTTTGTATGTGTTCTCGATATGAAGGGCATCCGGTTGGTATTGCTATTCATTGCTATTCTTGTGACCCCGTGTTTCTGTGTTTAGAGGGTGAGTGAGCACATTAGAAAATAATTTACATGTGGATTACAAAAAAGATTAGACCATCCACAGATACAAATAACAAACACTGATTCCCGTGTCCTGCATCTTCTTTGTGTCTGAGTCACACCCACAGCTGAGTAACGCTACTCTGACTCACACAGAAAACTCCCAATGAGGGATTTCAGAGGAAGCTCATGTCAAACACTATAAAGAAAAAAAGATCTGTAAAGTATGCTAAAGATCTGTTGTGCCAAATGAATGTCTATTGATCAAAATGAATATAACTTTTTAAACATTTGAGTGATTTTGCCTCTTGAGGTGTGGTAAATTGATTTTATTACCATCACACTGGATGAAAATAATAATTACATGAAACTACCTAATGTTTAAATGTGGTTCACAAGCATATATATTTAAAAATCAACAAGCATTGATCAAGGATATTTCTATACGGATAGTAGGTTGACAGTGGTATCTTTTAAGGGTTCTCACCTGTGTTGTGTGATTATCTTGCATGGCCACTTTCTCTAGACGTGGTTTGGAAATGTTCATCTTTTGGTGACATTCATGACGCCATTTGCTGCTGACAGTTGAGTGTGAGTCATCTCCAACAATCTGCTTAATGAGCACAGGATGCAAAAACCTGCAAAAAACCTGCAAAGTCATGTATAAAACATAATTTCCAGTGCAACTGAAACCTGTGACAAATTATTAAAATCTTTTGGAGGTTTTTTCACTTTGCTGTATCTCTTAAAAATATAGACTATCTACAGATACAATGACAACTCATTCAAAACTTAACTTGTGTACTAACACATCACACGCATTCAATATAAGAAAGCTGTTAAGAAAGATACATTTAAATGCATGTGAAGGTGGCACAAAATATTTACAAAGAATGAAGAAAAGCCATATAGATTGTAAGTAGGAAGCTTATTCCACTAAGAACAAAAATCCCCTTATGTTATTTCAAGTTGAGTAATTATTCTTGAACAATTTCAATGCTTATGCACATCACCTTTGAGATTGCTGCATTGTTTGGGTCATTTTAAACACGGTTTGAACAAATGCATACCACATCACAATGGCTAAGGCTGTCTAATCTCTCTGCTCCGTCTCTGGCCCTCATGGCTCCAGTTAGCATGCTGTCCATGTTTGCCAGACCTGCCAAGTGTACAAGGCACATATTCAGGCTTCCTGCCTCCCACTGCACTAATGAAACTCTGTATGCAGCTCTCAACATGCCAAAATTCATTGCTTTTTTCAAAGAAACGGTACACATTGATTTGGTAAAAATCAGTATGACATTTCAAAGTCCTAAATTGTCTATTGTTATAAGTGACGGGCTTTGTCCACGGTGGCATTTGAATAATGCAGTTACTCACTCACATATCATTCTTCAGCAGCTAAAGTTATTTCCTCAATATCAGATAAATGCACCACCGTATAACAGCTTTTTGTTGCTTTTCTATACAGCAAATCCTCTAGATAAACCTCACGCCTCTTAGCCGATGCTATAAAACACAACTGACAGGTATTTCCTTTTTCATTACCTTTCTGTCAACTGCAGGGAAAGCTGTTTCTGCTAACATTGTACCAAAGACGCTATCTGACAGGAGGTACCATTAAAAGTCCTATTGAACAATAATTGAGACCAAGGGGAGGCACTTCAGCAGTGACACAGGGAGATCATATCATACTAAAGGTAATTTACACTCACAGATAAGGGTTATAGTGGAAGTGGAAGATAAAATATCATGGTTGTTATATTGCCACAGAAATGTTTCATGCCTATGGAGAAAGAAGAAAATGTCCACACACACTGAAAGACATAATATTTACAGAATGGAACAGCATCTCACAGACCACATATGTCCCTATGGAGCCTTGTTTCACTCACTCAGTACTCTCATCCATGGAAGCAAGCTCAACGAGAAATGTAAGAAGACTCCCATTAGAAAGGTGAGAATAAACCCTGTGTGTTCGGGGGAGGGGGGGCTTTGAGAATCTATCAGAAGAACACCGAACAAAACCAATCTACGCAATTATTGTTTCAGCCAGCTGAGAGCCCATGGCTTAAGGAAAATCCATCAAGTCCTTTCATTAGATGAGACTTTGGCAGTGAAAAGATGTGGAGACAATGGGACCACTTTCTGGAGAACTGCAGTTACACATGAATAAGCCTCTCTCACAGAGGTCAAATGAACATGCAAGCCACGGAGAGAATTTCTGTCAAGTTAAAACACTTGATGACAATAACCTTGTTTAACAATCAGTCACAGCCACCTTGAATTTGCCTGATTGTAAAAATAGGGATGATCTTATGAGTAAAGTCAAGGATTCATAACCCTCAGTAGGATAGTAATTGAGATGTTTTTCTTTACAAGATTGTTTCTGAGAAATTATGGACAGCAGGCATAATAATATGAGCTGAAGTATGATTTCAGACCCAACATTGGCACTACCACTTCTTAAATAGAAGGTATTGAGTTCATCGCTGGCTAGTGGATTTTCCCTAGGGGCTCTACTTTCCTCCCACTGTCCGAGCACATGCAGATGAAGTGAAGTGGAAACTGAAGGTGCAACTTCCTGTCTGTCTCTTTGTGAAAGCCTTTTGACAATCTGTTAAACAGCCAACTTGTGCATTGCTGATGGGAGCATACACTTCAAGGTCAGGGAGCTTCAATAAATGCATGTGTTTACTGATCTGTTTTCTAACGGCTTTGGTTTTCTCCAAATACCTATTGAGGGCATATGCACTCCTGTTCTCATACCTAAAGCAATGTCAAAACACAAGTGAAAAGATATTAGTATACAAGTGGGAATGTGTGTGAATTTCTTGTGTGAAAGGGGGAAACAAGGGAATTTAAAAGGAAAGAGACATAGAGCTGGGATGACGTTAGACTGTCAGAGAAAATGCCATCACCTGAACTACGAAGGCTTCCATACATTTGTGCACCGGAAAAATCAATGTAAAGTCAAAAAAACGTATCAAGTAAAAAGTAAAAAAAGACAAGCGGTATATCGTGCGCGTGCAGCAGATTTTCCTTCAAAGAGGAAACTGGATCTTCAAGGCCGTTTACAGCTTCTGAAAAGCTCAGATCTGAACATTCTTGATTTAAGACTCTGAGGGCTTTTATAAAAAACAGTAAAGGCACATATTCCTTTCCAAGAGAAATGTGAAAAATGATCTTGTGCATCACCACTGCATTTTAACCACCTCATAATCATCATCTCTATGTCAAATTGGATGAGTGAGTCAGCGGTAAAGCAGCACAGCAGCTGCAGATTATGATAGATACTGAGATGCCTAAGATCAAGAAAGACTGTAATTTATGGCACACGGAATCATGGAAGCCACTGAATAAGGCAATTGGAAAACTATGCTTGACTAAACAAAGACTTGCTGGATGACTGTAAACATAGAGGTGTCCCTTTTGAATATTTATGACACTGAATGATATGTGTAATGTGCATTTCTGTCACGTCTCCGTCACACACGTTAAATCCTTCTTGATTAAATCTCTCATCCGCTCAGTGCACAACCAATGCAGACATGTATCTGAAGATGGAAATTTGACTAGAGCACATGCAAAAAATAAATCAACATCAGCTTGAGCACCCAGTGAAGTCACAGCTGCTCATGGAGTGAAAAGGTAAGTTTTCAGTTTACAGTCATATCTCATTAGTGTTTTTTCAAAGCGGTAAATCCACAGCAAAGTTCTGTGAGCGATACAAGTTTCTTGCTTATTAAAAACAGCAGGCTTCTTTTTTCATAATGATCCCCCCTCATGAACCACTCTGTAGAGGTCCATTTTAAAACAAGTAACATGGAGATACAACTCATGCAAACAAAGCCTTTCCCCATTATTCCTTCCTTTTTAAAAAGAAACATAATTGCATTTTCATTTATTGAAAATAACCACAAGTTAAGCACAAAACTCTGCAACTCCTTTGTGGGTGCGAACGCCATTTTTCAAGTCTTCGGAACCTTTCATTGCACTTGAAATAGAACAAGCAGAAGCATAATAATGAAGAGCTGATTTAACTTGTGCTTTCGTGTATGTCCTCCAACTAATCACATGCACAGGTGCAGAACACATCCAGTATAAGCAGCATTTATTTCTCTATTTGCTTACAACAATTGAATGTATTCCCTATATAACTATCAGAAAGTGTATCTTTGACTTTTAAAAAACTCTTCATCAAAACATGAGGTGATAAAATGATGGTTTCACTGCATCTTAACAATTACTTCAGCAGATCACCACAGGAAAGTATTAATAAAGATCGTAGTTCTCGCCACCCACCCAAAGTCTTAGACCATGATGTACAGTAAGTGTACAACAAGTGTATTAGGATAGACTTCATGAAAAGACAAAATTCTGGAAGTTTTAAACCTTTTACAAGCTTCCAGCTATCATTTTTAATTTTAAGAATAAGCATAAAAGGGGTTCTTTGTTTGATTGTAATCCTTTACAAAATAAAAATAAAATAAAATGAAAGCCAACTGTTTTTCTTGTTTCTCTGCTCATGTTTGTTTCAGCATTCAGAGCAAACAACAGTGCATATGTGTGTGTGCCCAGTCCATGGATTTATTTATATGCGGTAGGATGTGTATTTTTTCTGCAATACCAACAAGGGAAATCATTTACTAAAATGTTGCATTTTCCCATGTCACTGCAAAGGGCTATTCCTTTGTGCAATCAAATGAGATAGTGGTATGAATTTCCACTCTCTGAAATTGAAGTCATTGCGCAGTTCAACCATGACTGATTGTCTTTGCTCCTGACCTGAAGTATACAGAGATTTATCTCTATCATTCCTTTACTGTCTTTGCACGCGTAAAATGAGACATCATCTCTTGTTACTGCTGATAGGCCTTCATGATGAAGCAGGTCCAATACACAATAGTCAGGAGAGACGCGCACTTGATGGATGAAAAACAGTACCTGAACCCTTAGCCTCTTGTGTCACCGGATCCAGAGGCTCTGTCTCATCCTGGGGGCATTATATGGCAATGTTATGAGCCCACTTGTCCCCTTGGAGAAAAGATGTGCTCCAAATCCTTACACACTTGTTGGAAGGACCTTAAGAGTCATATCTGGATGAGATGAGATTGATATCTTCCTGGACGACAATCTCCCCTGACACAGGAAATTTGGTGGCCACTGAACATTTTGATTAAAATTATATGAATCATAGGGCCTTTATAATCGCCAGCTTCCACACATGAATATATACGGATGGATTTTAATGCCAGAAAGGGCATTCTATGCAGCACTCTGCACAACGGTATCCAAACTGTTTTTATTTAACTGACTTTTAATGAATCAACATGAATCAATATGTTTGTTTTAGTGGAAGAGACACTAAAAAAAGTTAAAATCAGAGGTAAACACAGAAGTACTGACTCAACTTTATTAGCATATGAATGGACCAGTTCGTTAAATGTTGCTTTGTGTCATTTGCCATGTGACATCATCAAAGGTGACATTAGGTTGCTGGTGACTCCAGCTGACCCCAGGAGTTAGTGTGAGCATACACTGACCGCTGGGACAGGCATGTGATGATTCTCTGGGATGCACTTCTTTCCACAGATTTTAATTCATATTACTTTAAATCAATGGATTAGTTATGTTTAAAGGCTTGTAACGTGACAGAGTCTGCATAATTTTTCTTTTTCCTTTTGTAAAAATAAGTGGAATAACATCAGATTACGAGTTTTTTCAAAATGCAGTTTTTCATGAAGCATCAACAAAGGAGAGATGTTGCGCATGTAGGTGTTCAAACAGAATCAGTGAGGTAGCCTTTAACTTGATTTTAAAGTCCATGTCCAAAGGAGAAGGGGGAGTTGGAATCTAAAAGACAAGAGGCAGGCAGTTGAAGAAAAGTGAAACTTTATCATAAACAAAAGGCACTGCCAAAGAAAGAACAACTAAATCCAAACCTCAAAACCAAGAAGAAATCCCATGACTGCCGGGCGGAGTTATGAGGAGTAACGAATACAACTTGGCAACTCGATGATTGAATTACAAGGCAACCAGAATACCTGGCCAGAAAAAGAGCAAACACAACAAACAGAATGAGGCTTCACAGAAAGAAAACAAAAAAACAAGAAGTTTAATATAAATAAGTTGAATCTAGAAAAAGACACACAACCACACACACTCAATGGTAATTTGGAATGTCCAGTCATCCTAACATGAAGGTTTTTGGATGGTGGAGGAAGACGGATAACCGATGCAGACACAGGGAGAACATGCAAACCACACCAGTTCCTGGTTCCCCCGGGGACTTGAACTCATAACCCACTTGCTGTGAGGCAATGGTGCTAACCACCACACCACCGTGCTGACCCAGCGCTTTTCCTTTCCATGTCAAATACAATTTTAAATCCCAAAAAGAATTATCTGAAAAGTATCCACAGAGTTAATGTAACAGTGGAGAGCCTGTTGTCTCTGCACATCAGATTGCGAAAATGAATCAAAGACATTCACACAAAACTCGGCATCATGAGAGTGTTTCAGCTTGGGTTCATATGCTCTGTCTAATCAGAGGGGAGATGAAAAGCCAGATGATTGGATTAATTGGGCTGAATCACATAAAGTGCCACATGTGCGTACTTTGCTTAGCTCAGGGCTGGTGTAACAACCAAATCAAAGTCCTACTATACAGGAGACTAATGAGTTTAACTTAATTTACCGTTATCAACAAGTTGATACTTTTTACAAGTTTAGCTGAGGGCACACAATAATTTGGCAGCACTTAGTATATATTTGCTCTCCACATCTACTTTTCCTGTTCATATTCTTTAATAGATATTGATTTGCTTCCTTCTTTCTTGAATTTGTATCTACATTTTGTCCCTTGGTTGAAGACGTATTTACAGGCTCACTGATGTTAAGAAAGTCCTTCATTTTGTGAAACAAGCTAAAAGTGGGACTGTGTGGGTTTTGGTGGTCAGAACCATCACCTCACTGCTTCCATGTTCTCCCTGTCTTTGCAAGGAACACCAGCTTCCTGCCTCCATCCAAAAACATGTACGTTTGGTTGAATGGTGACTGTAAAATGATTGGATTAGAAGTACTAAAGTAAAAAAAAAACTACTGTTGCAGGGGATCCAAATAAATGTGAGGCAGAACCAGAAAGTAGCCTTGAGATAGAGATAAAATTGAAAACTTAGAAGAAAAACAGGGACAAAACTACATGTAATAGGTTAAGACAAAGAGCAGGCGCTAACTGTAAATCAAGGCTGGTGTGAAACAAGAGCTGTAAGACAAACAGTTGAACGAAAAGATCAAGTACTGCAAATGAAATCAGCAATAATGAAAATAAACAGGAAACAGGATAAAAAATGACTTGGTAAACACGTTCACTGCAATGTAGAGGACCGTTTGTACCATGTCTATTTCTACAAAGTGCTACACTGAGTGTGTTATTTGCCCTTTCACACAAACACTCACACATGGGTTCCAAAATTACAGACTGATAATTAGAAATCCAAAAGCAAGGACTGCATCAAAACTGTTTTTTAAAAAGATCTCTATTTTGTACAGAGCTTATCTGTTACAGTCAAACGTTTTTTATTTCTATAGTCATTTGTTGATGAGGAATCACGAGCACAATTTGAGTACACAAGTACTCAAGAACTGCAGCTCAAACAATGTGATTATTCGACTGCATTCAGTAGAAGCATGACATTTGGATTCAGGGCATTATTAGAGGTAGGAGGACTTCTTCTAAAAATATTCCATGGATGCTCCCTCTCTTATTTCCGTTTCCCCTCCGTCTCCTTCAGCAGCTTTGAACCTCGGTTTGGGTTAATGATCTTTATCCATTGCCTTTTCAATTGATTCACTAATCAGTGAGCTGAGGATGCTTCAAAGTCTCGATTGCCTTCTTCCCTTCCAGCATGTTAATTTACCTCAGGTCATTATAGACATACCGTGTAGAAGAATCAAACAAAACCAAGAGGGGATCAGGGGTTCAGTGTGTGGACCCGCATCAACAATCAAACTGAGGGTGTTCATTGCAGAAACATCTTCTCACACCTTTATCCTTCTCGGTGAAACAGTCTGGGAAAGTGCAGACCCCATGCATTGCTGGACTGACAGGGTAAAAAACAGGAACAAACATTGCTGAAAAATAATGGCTGAAAACTACATTATATAAATAGTACACTGTAACTGAGGCATAATTTGTTTTTCTATTCCTTTTTTTGCAGATGATAATGTCCTTTTTACTAAAAAAAAAGGAAAAAATTAAAAAGTCTTTCTAAACGGCATATTTGGGTCTTTCCCATCCTGCACTGATCTCAATACGTCCTCAAACAAGGTAGCTGTGACTTTTCTTCTCACTTGAATGAGCAGAAAAGTGTGAAAAGGGATCTGGAGAATTGTAAGAAAACGTCAAGGTTCACCTAATTTCATCACATCTCTGTAGACAGCCGCCACTTGTCTTGGATGAACTGGGAGAACGTTGAAAATCAGCTTTGGAGATTTTCCGTGTATGAAAATCATCATCCAAGAGAAGTTCTACTAGGAACATACAAAAAGACATAGTATGTTGAATACGGAGAACACGCCCTCCACAGGCCCCTTTCCCTCACTGCACTGATCATTTGATTTGCTCAATAATAGTATGTGGTTGTGTTTAACAGTAGATATTTTGAGTCATTAAATTCTAAGTTAAATATATAATTAGTTTATATAATATCGAACCAGACAGGTTAAGAATAGGAGGTTACATGAATTCATGTGGATATCAAGGCAGGTCAGTGACGACTTTTAGCGATATTGTGTTTGTAGAACTAAAACTTGTATTACAGCGCCCTCCTGTGATGGACCCCTGAAGGTGAACAAGAAGCTCATCACCACAAAATATAACCATTTTGGTAGATTTTAACAAGATACCAAGATTTAACTTTTTACAGGGGAAAACTATTCAGATGATTTTGCATGTAGTTTTAAAGACTTCGGCATCCATTGTGGCGTGAAAACACCTTCCACAAAAAACTATTTTCAATCAGTCGTTATTTGTACCATAATAATGCACCATGGTGAATTCTTCACTTTTCCCAAGACCCGGACAAGCTAACTTACATTTTAAAACACAAACCAACATAAAATCAACAATTAAAAAAAAGCAAATTAATCCCGATTAGTTCATTAGATTAAATCATTTGTAAACATCAACTTGGCATCCAAAGTGAATGATAATGACTTTATGGAAAACAGCTGGCCCTGTGAGCTTAATTTGATCATTTCTGCAAAACTGTTAGTTTTGAGTTTATCTCTTACATGTTTGCTATATCAGAATGCAATAAAACAGTTTGTATATTACCCTTTACACAAAGTGTTGAGCTTGGAAATATTAATTCAATTATTCAACCTCCAAAACAGTAATTAAGTATTTTTCCTAAGAATAATAGAATGTAACTGAAATCCAAAACTAAAAGAAAATCAAGCATCTGTTTACTTCCAAAAAGGAAAGTGAGATGTCTCACATTGGTATTAATCTTTTCACTGAACACAAAAAGGTATAAAAAAATTTGAAACATGATATTTGCGCAAAGTGTAGCTCTGTCTCAGCTATATTCCAGCAATTGTTCAGAGCAAAGCTAAACTTCCCATGCTTTGTAGGGACAGTGCTTTTCCAGTCTTGATATCTACCCAATTGGTAAACTAAAAAAAGTACATTTCCCTCAGAGTCAAACAGAAAAAACAGAAATGCATGATTAAATGAAAAAATACAGCATCAAAATGCAAAATTCTTCTCATCATGTTAACTTTATACATCTATAATCTTTTAAAATCAATCAAACGTCACAGTTCCTCCATTATAGGTCCATGTTGTGCTGTCAGAGCAAAAGCTCTTGCTCTGATTGTGCTCTGATGATTCACTTCTGCTCTCAGTTCATCTGTGCTCACGCCCCTTCAGGTGTCACTCCAAAGGAAACTGTTGTTTTTCAAAACTTCGGCCAACTTTTGGTTGAAGGGCTGGTAAAATTTGTCAAGAAGGTCTTTGGTGGCTGGAAGCATTGGGCCAAGTTTTTTGTCTTTAGTCCGGCGGGTGTTAAACATGGGGTGTTTGACCAGCACTGCCTCCAGCTCCTCTGACAGAGGACCTGAAATGCAAGTGGGAGCAGGTGAAATAAAGATTCACTACTCAGACAAACAGGAATCACGTAAAAACGTGATTCATCATCATTTTGGATTCATCTTACTGGACACATACCCACACGCAAAAAATCAAAAACTCTTTTCATTGTAGCTTTAATGTTGGTTGAGTAGTCTTCCAGTTGTAGAACTAGAATCTGTTCCTTGTGGAAAACGGTTAGCCAGTCCAGGATGTAGACAAAGTAAACACCCAGGTTTAGTCTTACCTGTGGAAAAAAAAGATTTCAACATGGTTCATTTTTTTATGGTTCAGTCAAAAACACATTAGTAGTCTTATTGATCTCTAATGTACCCTCCACAAGCCAGTTGATTTATGTATTTTGAATGGATTGATATAATTACATAATATTGTATTTTACAAAAAGAAATTTAAGACATAGTATTAAAGAGCCTATCTTGCTAACACTGGGTGAGAGGCACAGTACACTCTGGACAGGTCGCCAGTCCACTGCAGTAACCAGATGTCAGTAACCAAAATGACAAGTATCAGCATCACCCTGTGTCCTCCAGAGGGCACCACGCTGCAACGCCAAAACGAATCATGGGAAGTAGTCAGACTGATATTCAGAATCCTCAAGTTAGGCTTTTGGTGGTTGCCATTTTTGGCTTATTGGTTTGAGCCACTGTTACAACCACTGTTACAGATAGGTGGTACTTCCATACATTCATTTTTAGACGGTTGAAAAATTAAGCAAAGCACTGCACCAACCGGCATGCTCTTGAAGGTGCTGGTTCTGTAGATGCAGGAGCGGAGCGACCTCTCAGAGAGGCAGGTCTGAAACACTTTAACTGACACTGTCACCTTCTCGTGGAAGTCCTCTGCTGACTTGTCAGCTGTGGTAAAGTACAAGTAGTCAGAGTAAAGCCTGGAAGCAGAGGAAGGCATTGTTTCAATCCAAAAGTAAGGGCAAGATTTGACATTTTTACTGCACGTACAGCAGGAATTCATAAAAAAAATACTGTATGCTCAGCATAAAAAACAAACCACTTGTCCAGAGTCGTGTGGAAGTAAACAATACTGTTTAACTCACAGCTGTGTCTACATAAGCCAAAACAGATATGGAGGTCCAGGTACCTTTCGACTGGATTCCTGAGCATGATGATGATTCTGGCATTCGGTTGAACTGTGTGGATAAAGTCCTGAACCAGGAAAGGGGGCTCATGATCCTCACTGTCTCGATGGAGATGGCTCCAACCTTGGTTGTCCCACATGGTGGATACACTGGCTTCACCTGGAAGGAAAGACAATGGTTGTATCAAACCTCAACAGCAAACAAAAAAAATAAAAAAGAAAGTCCTTCTCCTGATCCAAATGGGAAGTTTTTTTTATGCTAACGATGTCCAGCTATTCTTAAACCAATAAAGAAGTTAAACTAAAAGCCACTCTTTTTTCTTTTATTTAGCCATATATATCATTTGTGTGGCATTTCTTTAACCTCAGCGTAACAGTGGAATACCTTGGAGATATGTTTTGCTTTGACTACAGTGTATTTATAAAGATTTAATAAAGAATAAAGAGCTTAATTCATTCATAGCAAAAATGCAGTGACTTTTCCTCTGCTCTTGCAGTTTAATATTAATACCGCTTTTATGGCAGTTAACTTATAATGTGTCGGTTGTATTTTATTTGTTACTTTCTTTTCCAATTTTCATTCACTTACACACTTCCCTAAGTTTTCACCTGTTGTGATCTGCTGTGCTCGGTGGTCTTCAGATGAATTTCTTCTGAGCCCTTCTAAGATGTTGTTGGCTGCTAAGTCGAACAGATCGAGGTAATGTTCCACAGGATAATTTTCCTGAGAGCCCTCCTTAAAACGGATGTAACCTGTAATTCACAGCACATTAAATTGAAACTCATTATAAGGACATCTATGGACTGCTCTCACATACAAGTCTCTCCCAAATCAAACAGTCTTCACTAAAACTGGTTTTCACAGATCAAATGGAGAGTAACAGGTAATGTCTTTGGTCATCAATATGAATATGGAGAAAAACAGACCACCCACTGTGGTTGCATTCACAAAATATAAACCTGTGAAATAGATTCTTCCCCACTTTAAATTTGAATGTTTTAAGAAGTAGAATTAAGTACATCTAACATCTAATCGGATTCGTTTAGCAGTAATGCAGTGTCAGCACAAACAGCTCAGGAAAACAGTCAGGGACTGTAGGCGGGGAATCATGCCCCCATGTGGTCAACCACAACATGAGGCCACCTGTCAGACAGCTAGAGCTTAGAAGAGGTAATACAAGACAAATAGGATGGAAAAAGAGAAAGTCTGAAAAAGACAAGAATCAAAGACTCCCAGACGTGAGCATGATTGAATTGTATTGAATTTAACCTAAAGAGATCTGTGCATTGACCAATGCTGCAAGCACCATTGAACTTAGGCAACATTGTAAAATATGCAATCCCATGCAGAAAAAACACTTCTGTTCAGAATTCAGGGTTAACATTAATACTTCTAACACATCAGGTGTGTTTATGAGTCCCAAACTGCCAAATGTAACAGTTTGAGCCAGTCCTCTCTGGCATAAAGTTCAAAGACCTTCCAACACATTATTGTTATCATGGACAGTTTTTAGCCATGACCAGGGACTTCCTGTAGTTTATGCTGGTCGCCTAGCAACATCACAGCAACTTCAAGGTTTCTGGAAGGTACTTTCCACACTGAATAAACAGTCCAGAACACAACTTCCAATCAGATCGTCATTTACTCTTTGCAGAGAACAAAACAGTCTATTTCACATTGCCTCAAAATACTGTTCTTCAAAAGAAACATTATTATTGTATTAGGCCTTACCAAACCGTTTCCTGGTCCACCAGTGCGGCTCCTTTATGGTGTTGAATTTGACAGCTGGGTGTATCAGCAGTCTGCGAAACAAGTCTGTTGTGCCACACTTTGGTTGGCCGATGACGTAAAAGTAGGGTAGGCAACGCAGACGGTAGCTCTTTCCATCTCTTTGAGTCAGGTGCTGACGGAAGTTGGCTCGCAGTTGGTGACAGGCTCTGTTGAAGCCCCTCGAGAACATGGCAAAGCGGTTGGTCCTGTACAGGTCAGTGATGAACTGATCGGAGACTTCAGCCGGGAGCTCTTCATACCAGCACGGGCTCTTGATGCCGGGCAAAAACTGTCGAGGGAATACCGAAAACAGCTGCAGAGATAAGAAAAATTAAAAGTTTTTTTAAAGCCAGAAGCATGTGATGCTGTCAAAACTGCATCAAAGATTTTTGCAGCCTGGCTACTCCTCCATTTCTTACATCTCTTTCACGTTACAATTGTCTGACATGCACCACTAATTGGTTTTCAACTTGATGACTCAACGGTGTTGCGACATATGCCTCTGTGATTGATATCCCAATTCCCACATGTGCTGAGGCTTTTCTCATAAACAATGCAAAATTATATAGAAGTGTATGGAAAACAATGATGTGAGCTTAAATTAAACACTGTTAACCTGTCAGAAAAGCAGCCGGTAAGCTTTTGGCATCACTTAATGACTGTTGTTTGAAACACTGGTCATTTTAAGCTTTGTCAAACAGGTGTTTACTGCTGTGTCACTCTTACGGTGCTTAATTTAGAGTCAAATTCTGTTTTTTTCTTTGGGTAACAACAGATAAAAAGAAATCTGTGATCATTTGTGTTTATTTTCTCCTTTAGATTCACAGTTTTATGCACAAACACTGCATTCTACATCATTAATATATTATTTTTCTTAGTTTATTCAGCAAAAATTTGTCTGATTATATTTCCTCAGACTTACATTAGAATCTGTGCCGATGACGTCTTTTTCCTCAGGTACCTTTCTGGGTGTGTACTCCTGAATGGAACTGGTAATCCTCTCCCGTAGATTAATATCTATTAAACTATTTTCAAAAGAAACTTCAGTTGGCTTTCTGCTCCCCTGTATGACCACTGGTCCAAGCTCAAAGGGCATAGCAGTGAATAAAGGGACTTTCTTGTCCCACATCATTATATATGAAGCCATTACAAGGAACGTCACTGTTGAACCTAAGAGGAAGCTAATCACTTTGACTTTTGAAATATGGTTCAGGTTGGTCATAAACAACGTGGGCACGCATTTGATGCCCAGATTTTTAGGAACATTTGCGTGTCTGAAGTAAAAAAATGTTTTGACTGACTTTCTGTTATAGTTTTCTGACAAAGCGGGGCTGGGATGGTTCAGACAATTGTCCATTTGAGTGTTGCTTTTGTTGTTGTAGTCTGAGAGTGACATCATTAAACAGGAGCAGAGCCAGCGTGAGGAGAGAGAAGCCAGGAAAGTTTTCTTTACGGAAGGTCAAGTTTCTCTTCAAAAGGTTGCGTCAGTAGGCAGGTCATCATTGCTTTTCATCTCATTATTGCTCCACACTCCTTAAGAGGACCTCCTGTAAAACAGAAACAGGTGTTAAAAACCAACATAGAGATTTTCGCCTAAAGAGTTGCTGTGACCTTTCCTTTGAGGTATTTTACTCGCCTTCTCTAATGCCAAAGGAGGTGTGGTGAATATTTTTAATCCTTGGGTATTTGCGGGAGCTTTATTTCCGCTGTATTTCAAACCATGCTTTTCTAAAATAGGAGCCCCCTCTAAAATGGTTAGCTGTGAGAGTGTGTGTGGTCTACTGAGTGATGATCCTTTGCTATATGGTGAGGGCTATAGAGCATATGCAAAGACTGGCTTTACTGAGAGACTTCCAAGGTTGGAATAATAGTTTCCCTGTAATTCAAAACTAAAAACACACCCTTATTTCTGGGAGTCTAAAGTCTATCCGACTGCTTTATTTTGTTAACCAGGAAACAGCGTTTCCACGATCAAGACCTGTCATGGCAGGAGTCAAATTAGGTATTGATACAGGTGGACAATCATGCGGGCGGTGCAGGAATTATGTTGTCATTTCTCACCACACAAATAAAAATAAAGGACACATTATCATTTCAGTGCGGCACACTAAGAAATCCTTAGCTCTGAGTTGTACAATGCTCCTTAAAAATACCTTTCCTCGTCTTTTTTCAGACTGCTGGACAAGAACGTGAAGCCATGAGGTAGTTTATTTTTTCGAACTACGCAACAGCACATTTTCAAATGTACAAATGTACAACTGCTAAGCCTCTTCCTTTGCTTAGCTTCACCCTCCTTTCCCTTTGCCTGAGTGTAAAACTGAACCTGTAAAAACTGAAGAGCTGCTTTGAATAGTGCAGCTGCAATGAATTGTGGGAGAAAATAATATATTTTCTTTCATAAAGGATACTCCAGAGATTCTTAAGCTAAAGAAGATAATTAAGGAAGCTTTGAGGGTCTTTAGTACAGCTCTCATAATGGCTTCTCCTCAATATTCTTCCAGGTCTTTCACTCATCTAGTAAAAAGGAATAGACTATGGCGAACACTCAACTGGTATAAAGAATATTTCTGTTTTTTAAGAACCTATAATTTGTGGTTGATTTTTAATTGAAACTTTATGGGAGAGCAATGTTAAATCTTAAAGCATTTTTCGAGACACAGAATCTGACATTTGATAAACACACAACGTCTTACTACAAGGTCTGGAGATGAGAATATGTTTTTCAGAACAGGTCCATGGGCCTGAATCAAACCCGTGACTCCTGCATTGGATCATAAGGCCTCTGTGCATGGGACGCCTACTCCACAAAGTCAGCTAAGGGCAGTCCTACTTATCCATTTTAATGAGGAGCACTGCGTCAGACTGTGGGTTGATGGAGTAAGGTCGTCATTCAATTGAGATTTGAGGGAAAAGGTAAACATTTGGTTTTAGAAGTCAAACAAAAAGCTCTTGCACTCCTGCAGATTTGGATAAATCTGATCCCTTGCAGATCTATCTGGTATGCAATTTAGGTAACTGTCATCCTCTTTTATCTCTGTACCTTTTCATGTACTGTTATTGTTCAAGTTTAATATTTGGCTGGAAAAAAATTCCTTGTGTAGGAGAAGAGTAATGTGGCTGAGCATACAGAAGACTTTAGGAGTCAATAATCTTTTAATTATTTATTGGTTCATGTGAATGCCTTGTTTTGAGTTCCAGGTATCCCAGATCAACCTGATCCAATAGACCGGTATTACCTTTAATACTGTTAAAATCCAAATTATCCACTGAACAAATTCATCATTTTATTTAGGCCGACTTTCTGTTATCAGGTTGTTGTTTTTTTCAGAGTTCCTTAAAATAGAATCTGTAATATCATTTCAAAGCCCCCTTGCATTGGGCCGTGACCGACATGCAATTAAAAAAACATTATGAGCAATAAATACATAAGCCGTTGTTTTGTAAAGATGAGCATCTGTTTTCTGACTTTAAACATCTGTTTAAAACTAAACTTTAAATAAGTGTGTAGAAAAGGGAGGGAACACAGTAAAAAGCAGTGAGATTAAACACTGATGGGCAGTTTACAACGTTATGAGATGGATCTCCATTCTGTGGTGTCTGGTGTGTGCGTGACTCTGCTAACGCTATCCTCCTCCTGACAAGCGTGTAAACCGAAAGGAAGTGACAGCGTGCTGTTGTGTAGCAGGACGCTGCAGGTGAATGACCCATCATGCAGCACCTTAGTGAAAATATAAGGTATTCATCATCAAATAAGTTCAATCTCCACATAGATGAAGGGAAATGAAAGTAGGAGTTGGATGAAACGGTGTTCTTCAAGGCTGTGTTGTGAGATGTTATATTCTGCTGAACAAAGTAGTTCATTAAAGGCTTTGAAGGAAAGAAAAAAAGGCATTCCTTTTAGATTACCTGCTCTTTGTGAACTAAAAACTAACAGAATCTTTAATTAATACGATTCAGATCTCTTCTCCAGCTTTTTTTTCATTTTTTAAGGTCAAATTTAAATGCCTGCATGTAAATTAATCAACAAACAAGTATTACAATTATTTTGTTTGTTCAAACCCTTCAATGCATTTCACAATGAGGTCCAGAGTTCATCCCCACAGATTTCTTCCACAGACATAAGAATCCTTCTATGTGATGCCTATATACAGCCATGTTTATATCCAACAATGTGATCCTGTGGAATTAAGATGCTCTGAGTATGAAGAATGCCTAAAGAGGAGACAGTATGCACCACGCACACATTCTACCCTCTTCTCAGACATGTTTTAACCTTTCTCTTCATGTTTACAACTGTGTAAGCACATCCTGAATCGTAACGGTACACTCTGTGACTGTGACTTGGCTAAATCCCAACAGTGGAAAATGGGAAGCACGAGAACAACCTGCCTCAGAAGGAAATAAAATAGACTCCCAGTTGATGGGGAATACAAATGGTAACTAAAGTGAGGAAAAAATTAAACCTCTACATACACAAAAAAGAAACAAATAACTAAAGTAATACAGCGGATGATAACATCCACCTGGAAGGTATTCTATCAGACTTCCTTCTGTCCTTTTCACAGACAGATTGTGAAAGAAATCTTCACGGGATGTCAAAAAGTGCTCTGAGAACTCAAACTGCATACAACACAGGCTTGATTCACATCAGTGGGCTGGTCTGTTCTTCCCTGTTCTTTTTTTCTTCCCACTAACAGAAGTGGGGGTTTTCTGTCAGGGAAGAGTGGCTATTGAACAAGCACGCGATATAAGCAAAATCGCAGTCTAAACTAAAGAAACACATGAATAAAAAAAAGCCCGCTATATTAAGCCTTGTTTAACCCCTGTCCACATGGACATCTGGAGTCCAGATATGCTCTTCAGCATGTGATGACATTTGTCGGGCTATATGTCTAGCCAAATACATTTTTCTAATAGATACAAATGGCACGCTTCAGCAGAACTTTAAAACCAAAAAGTTACAGACAGAAACTGAATATCTCACATATTAAATTCTAACATTACAACAAAGAACCAAAAAGGAGCAGAAAGGTCAAGAGACATAAGGCCGATGGGTAAGCCTCATAAAGTTGATGGTGGGAGATTTGTGGGTGCAGGAATGGGATAGGGCATGGGGTCATTTTGGTGGCCGGCAACTTTGTGTGGTCAGTGAACTCCAGCAGAGGGAGAGACGGGGAGGATGACCCAGATGAGGTTCGGGTCCTAATTCCTGCCTTTTAGTGTGGGAGGAGTCTGAGAGAGCTCCAGGATGACATTTTCTGAACCCAAATGCGGGGGCTGGGGAGTCCCCATCTTGAGGTTACTTCTAGGCTGTATTTCATCCCCTGGTTTTTGTTTCTTTTTGTCCATGTCCAAAACACAGAGAAGATCATCTGCAAACAGCCTTACTCCCCAAATGTGTTTTTGGTTCTGAACGAGCAGCAAGTTGAGCAGGCCCATCTTTACAGAAGTGCTATTTAATCTCCTTGAAGCTCAAAAAGTAGGGATCCAATCCCTGATGTTTCCTTTGATAAGCACAAGTCAACATAAGTGAAACAAGACTAGAAGTTTTTGAGGCATGTTCGCAAACACATAAATCTCCTCTTGAAGACATGTGTACAGTGCACAGTCCAAATGGTTGTGGCTCAGAGTTTTACATTTTTACAACTTTGCACCTTAAAAGAGTTTCTACACAGCAAGATGTTGAATAAATTATTTGCTGGCTCGTCTCACTGTACTACTGACAAGATGTATATATGGTATGAAACACAGACAAGTGCAAGAGGAAAGTGTTGAGCAAAAACTGCTACCAAATAACTCATAAACAGAGCTAAATTTACATGACAGGCTGGAACAAAATGGTTGAGGAAAAAAGACAAATGGGTTGCCTTGTTGTAGCAGCAGGCCAGTGGTTATTAACTCATGTGACCTAAAAGGTGAACATCCTTTCAATAGAAAAATGTTACGCCCACCGACCGATTGCAGCTCTCTTATTAACGAGAGTTTAAAAAGATAAGTTAATGTCCTAGACTGCATGAAAAAATGTCAATCCTAACTATTAGGCTGTAATAACTATGTGCAGCGAACTTAATTAATGATTACAATGCTGTTTTGCTTTGAGAACAGTATGATCCCAAACTACAATGTTGTCTCCTATGGAGTAGACCAGGAATAAAAGACTACTACTATCGAGCTAACAAAAATATTTTTTTCTGTTTATGCACTTTCGATGCATAACAATATTCAAACATGACTTTAGAATACTATAGCTGATCAAAGTGATCAAATTCCCCTTTAAAATCACTTTCATATTTAATATACATGAGGGATAATTGTCTGTATTAGTGACTGAGTGAGACAGACTTCCAAAAAGGGCATTTCAGATGAAAGGAGAACCCCCATTCTTCAAGATGTGGAAGATTCTAGACAAATGTAAGAGTTTAGGTCTTAAATTCTGTTTGAATTATAGGTCTTGCTGTTTCATTGGGAGTGTAAAAAAGTGCCAGTGTCAACAACATTTTTCAATTAGTGCTGAATTATACTGATTAGACAGCTTGCCTGTTCCGTCTTTTATTAGATTTGCTTTGCTCGTCAAAGTATTGTCTAAGCAGTCTTTTTCTTATGGGCAGAGCAGTCAGACTCCGGACCGACCTCTCTAGCTGCTGTTGCCAGTGTCAATAGCACGCACCGTATGCAAGGCTAAGCTATTGAAATCAAATTAAAACACATTTGATCATGTTCTCACTGTCTATGGAATGCTGGGGAAAAAGCGTCATAATGACACAGTGCATTTGCCTTCATTCTAAACACTGCTGCATGCCAGCAAACAACAGCAAACAACATGCAGACTTGTATTTCTTGTCTGTGGGATGCACTTGAAAATCATAGTTCCAGTAAGGACACATCAAGTGACTAATAGGACAAAACGGGCCAACATTTAAATATCAGATTCCACAGAACTCCTTGAGAAATTGTGTGCTGTTGTGTACACCAGGGAGGGTAGTGTGTGTGTGTGTGTGTGTGTGTGTGTGTGTGTCTGTG